TACTACTACTGCTGCGACTGCTGCTGCTACTACTACCACTACCACTACCACTACTACCACTACTACTACTACTATTACTACTACTACTACTACTACTACGACTACTACTACTACTACTACTACTACTACTACTACTACTACTACTACTACTGTTACTACTACGACTACTACTACTACTTCTACTACTCCCACTTCTCCTACTACTACTTCTACCACTATGGCTACCACGACGTCGACTACTACTACGACTACTACCATTATTGTTACGACTACTACTACGACGACGACTATTATTACTATGCTTACCACTACTACTTCTGCTACTGCTAGTATTTTTCCTCGTTGTATCAATTCTCCTCACCCTCCTCATCCTCATCTTCCCCCATGAAGGAAGACTGCAGTAGGGGATGATCAGCCGGCCGCCGTGCGCCATAGCTTTGTTTTGGCCGCTCGCCGCGCCCGCGCTGAGTTTCTTTTTTGATTGATCTCCGCTTCTGCCGATCCGTGACCATCCTCCTCCCCAGTACCCTCTGCAACATATAAGTCACATGCGCGGCAGTCTCATAGGAGAAGAGGAGGCAGGAGAGAGTATGCGGGTGGTGGGGAGCAGGAGTGTAAGTGACAGGAGGAGGAAGAGTGATACGATAGGAAGTATGCGGGGGAGCGGCAGGATGCGAATGATGTGGCGCTTTTCCGTCTCAGCCTCCTTTTCCTGCTCTCACCCTTTCTTCATCATCACGCCACTTCGCCTCGTAAGTCTCATGACGACAGAAGATAAGGGCGAGTGATAGGACGAGCGCCGGTATACTGACGAGGGGGAGGGGGAGCAGGGCAAGAGGAGGAGGAGGGGGTGCGGTTGAGAAACCACTCGTTCTCATCCAGTTGCTCCCGCCAATCCCCCACGCAGTCCTTTCTCCTTTCATCACCTTTATCTTCCTTACTGGAGGAGGAGGGAGGAGAAGGACCACGATGGCAGATGAGCAGGGGTGGCCTTTCAAAGCCTCGTTAGCCTCATCCTCCTCGTCCGTTTGTTCTCACTTCTCAACCTTCTCCTCTGCACCGTCCGGTGCGCTATATGACGATGGGCATGGTGATAGAGGGAGGAACCTCGAGATGGGGACGAGTATGAAAAGGCGAACTGTAGATGCGAGAAATCTGACGAATGAGGGGGAATGGCTCCTCATCCTCTTCCTGCCCCATTCACTTCTCATCATAGCCCCCCCCCCCACACACACCTTCCCCCTATCACCACCCCACCGTCCATCCCCGCATCAGGGACATAAGGGGGAGGCGGGAATTTACATAATGAGGGGGGGCAGGATGAAACGGGGGGGAATCAAAAGGGGGGTGAGGAGAAGGGGGCATGGGAAGGACGAGTGATTCCTCAACCTCGTCGTCGTCATGCTCATCTTCCTTTTCACCATATCACTTCAGTCTCACCTGCTCTGCGGGGGGAGGTGTGACGAGGAGAAGGGCTTCCACAATGTGCAGCATGAGGTTTGAATGGGGTCAGTAGGACGGGGATGGGGATGAGTCGCCCATCAACCTCCTTCTCAGCAGCTTGCCCCCATCACCCTACCTCTCCTATCGTACCACCCCCCTTCACACAGCAATATTCTCCCCCCGTGGAATGACAGGAATGACAGAAAGGTTGGCAGTGGACGGTGTGGAGGAGACGGGGGAGTGATATCATCAGGCGGAGGAGTGGGTCATCTGTATTCCTCGTAGACATCCGCCTCCTCATCCTCCTCATCTGCCCCCCCGTCATCCTTATCATATCAATGCGCCTCCGCCTCCTCCTCATCATCATCATCCTCCTGCTTCTCCCCCCGTTTGGTGGTAGAGGAAGGGTGGCCGTGGATGGTGAGCAGGGGCATGGGAAGTGATACGCGGAGGGCAGGAAGGAGAATTAAGAGTGATAGGAGGAGGGGTATGGGTAATTCCCCAAGCTCCTCCTCCTCGTTTTCCTGGTCCCCCGCCTCCTCCTCATCATTCTTCTCCTCCTCATTACGACCCTCGCCGTTGTCATATCGCCTTGCGTCCTACTCTCACATAGGAAACGAGGAGGTGCGATATGGTGAGGGTGGGGAGTGCCGAGAACAGCAGGGGGAGAAGGCGCAGGCGCAACTCCTCGACCCCCCCCCCTGCTTCTTGTCCGCATCATCGCATCACTCCTCCACCTCATCACCCTACCTCTTCTGCGCATCCTCCACCTCCCATGGGAGGGATCTGATGAGGACGAGGAGTGATTGAAGGAGGGTACATAGAGAGGATGAGGAGGAGTACTCCTCCTCATCATCCTCCCCTCGACCTCTACTCCTTTCATGGGAGCGAGCCCCGAAGGTTGAGGAGGCGAGTGAGGGGGTGAGAGAAGGAGCTGAGAGAGACCAGATAATGCAACACACGAAGGGCTGCTCAGAAAGGGCTTGCCTTCAGCCTGGAGTCTTCCAGGCATTTGCGTTCATTATATGGCGTGTTGTTATGTTGTTGTTTGTGTGCGCGTGTGGTGGTATTACCCAGTGGTTATGTGCTCTTGTGGGGCGAACAGATCAAAGGAAGCTAACCAGAGGGATGATGATGAGCAGGAGAGAGCGGACAGGCGAGAGTATGATAGAAAGATAGAGAGAGGATGGACGCGGAGGAAACTTAAATTGAATGGAGTCCGTTTGAATGGTTTACGCCCGCTGCCATTTTGCCGTGGCCCCCCTTTCACATCATGAACATTGGGGGCTCGGGAGAGTTGGCATGGGAGAATCATGTCCCCTCGCCGCCTAAGAGCGAACAAAGAACGCACACGTACATAAATAAGTGTGGTTTTCGAGAAGACGTGTGTTTCGATCGCGTGTGCCATCTCGAAGGTTTTGTATACGGGTGGCGAGCGAGTCGTTGTTTGGCTCGGTTCCGAATTGCTCTGGCCCGGAGATCATAAATCCGATATTTGCGCTCGGCTCTACAATCGTGACGCTCCGGGTGAAGGTTATGTCCTGTTTGCGGACATGCGCGTCTTGTGCATGTACACAGTTCGATGATATTGTTCAGCTGTGTACGTGAAGTTCGGCGTCCTGTAGGAACTTACACCAGATCAGTCGCAATTTGCGAAACCACCGGCGACTAGGTGCAAGAAGGCTTCATCATTCGTAGTTGTCATGATTTCATGTGTAAGCGTCTGTAACCATGTGTAACAAGGTGCAGCGGGAAGCGAGATGGTGGCATTTGTCGCGACGCTTGTTGTCGGCATGTTGTGCTCTTCCTACTCCTCCATAAATTCGACCTGCTCGTCGTCCTCGCCCCGGTATTGTAGATTTAGAATGAATCAATAATGTGTGTTCGAAGCAATGAGCCCTGCTTAGGCACCGAGTGCCATTAAATCGTTGCCATAGAATCATGTATTCAACCGACTCCCCTTGAACATTTGCGACTGGCAGTGGACGGCATCAAGGTTTTTCAACTTGCGGAAGGAAGGCAGACGGCATTCCGGGCAGGTGCAGCTCTCTCCGACATGAATGATCTCAGCACAGGGTTAGGCATACGTACATGAAGCGGTTTGAAGATGACGGTGTTTTCGAAGGACCTTCATGGAAAAAGCGAACATTCCCCAATCAGTGCTTGGACTGAAGGGGTCCTAGCGGATATTCCCCAATCAGAGCTTGCACTGAAAGGGTCCTGGCGGATATTGAAAGATTTGGAGAACGTTTCCCGCCGAATTTGGTAGCCGGTTCCCAGGTTCCCGGTTCCAGTTTCCGGGGTTCTTGATTTTTGGTTTTGGGGCGATTTCGGTGGGCGGCGGGGTTCCCGGGTTCCCGGGTTCCTGGTCGATCTTTTTATGGATCGGTCTCACCATCGATCTCATTACCCACCTCTCTATCGATCTCACCATCGATGTCACGATCGATCTCACTATCGATCTCACTATAGATCGCACGAGCGATCTCGCGATCGATCTCACTATCGATGTCATTGAATCGACATCATTCTCGGTCTCACGATCGACCTTACAATCGTCCTCACTATCGGTTCCACTACAGATCTCACTATCGATCTCACAATCGATCTCAAGATCAGTATTTTTTCAAAAAAAAAATACCATCAATCGTTTGGGGTTTTCTCTGGTATAATGAGTACATGCTGTTCGTTACTCCTATGCATGTTTTCATGTTGTAATGAGTTGTATGGAGTGTCTGGTTGATGGTATGCTGTCAGGCTCGCGTGGCTTTTCTTCCTCTTCATTTCCCAAACAACCTGTGGTATTGGGGCCCTCGTTTTGGGTCCCGGGGGGGTCCCGGGGGGGGGGGGGTCAGATACGCATCCGCCCCCGGGCGTCCCGGAGCCCAAAAAAAGCGCCAAGACACGCCAAAAGGCCCCCGGTTCCCTCTCTCATTCCTTCCTCCGATGGAGTGAGTGGTACGGGAGGCGTGGGGTCGCCTCCCTCCTGCTCCATAATTCCACCCTTCTCTCTCTCCCCATCCTTCGCCTCCTCGTCCTTGCCGTCATCCTCTTCCTCGTTCTCGTCGTCCTTCTCTTTCTTCTCCTCTTCCTATCCCTCCACTTCCACAGTGGAGGAGGCGTTGCGGGGAGGATGATGCGGCTGAGAGGGGATTTCCCCAACACGTCGCCGTCCCCCTCGTCGGGTGGAGTCCCTCCTCCTCCTCCTGCTCTCCTCCTCCTCAGCCTCTTCCTCCGGTTTCCTGTTCTCTCTTCAGGATGTCGGCTCCGAGGCGATCGCGCGCGAGGTCGCTCGCACAGGCGTGCGGGTCCACGGACCAGGAATCGAGCAAGACAACTGAGCGACGTGCAAAAAGAGCCGCCGGCGCCGACGTGTGCGCGTGAGCTGTCCGCGTCAGGCTGCGCGTAGGCGCCCTCTGTTCCACATAGCAAGGGCCACCGCGCAAGGTCGTCGTGTTACTCACGCGATGGATCCCGTTTTTCTTCGTCGCTCAACCGACGGCGCCCGCACCCTCTGGGCGTGCTGCCGTTCCTCCTCCTCCTCCTGCTTCTCCCTAGCCTTCTGGGCCCACTTGCAAATCCAAAACGTGATTACTGGCGCCCATGCGCTAGAAGATCCGTATCATCTACATATCTAACTGGCACACTTGCTTACGCGCGATGATGAGCCGCCTCTTCGTGGCAGGTGTCCTCCTGCGCACCTGCCTCGGCATCACCCTTCGCCCCGACGCCCAGGCTGCTCGCGAGTCGGGACCGTGCAGAGACGCAGCCCCCGGCGAGTGGTGCCACGCCGCGGCGGTGTGGGCCAAGGAGATCGGCTTCGAGCGGCGCCCAGACTGGCCCGTGGGCGACGCCAGCCAGCGCAGCCTGTCGGACCCAGCGGCGCGCCAAGGGGGGCTGCAGCCAAAGACGCCGAAATGAGGACCGCTTCGGGCTCACGAGGGGCTCGGGTGCCCGGGCCGTTCCTCAGAGGCATGTCGTGGAACCTGCCTCTGGCCCAGGCCCGCCGTGGCCAGTTGAGCCCCTTCGTGCCTCCCAGTGGAGGCCCATGCCAAGAAACTCCCTGCTCGCCTCCAGGGTTCCCCTGGGTTTCTTGGGCTTCGATGGTCTTGCGATGGAAAGCGTGACGTTCCCGCACTCAAAAATCGAGGAACGTCCTGGGGTCTCAGGGTTGGGTTGCTTGTGGAAGGTCTCTTGTGGTCGGGCCCCTACTGTATCCTGCGTTCCTTCGTGTCTTCTCGTAGGACGACGTCTCCGGGGCTAGGGTTAAGTCGGGCCCGTCCCTCTACAGGGGGGATATTCAAAACTTGTAAAACTATCCTGGCGAAGGGCCCAACCATATGCGAACGTGAATACCGCAGGGCAGGTAGGACGAAGCAAGAGGAATTCTCTATGGGGCCACGATCCTCGTGAGGGGTGTGCTGAAATGGCCCGAGGCCGCCATGCGAACGCTGCCACTGGCGCCATCCTTGGAGCTCCCTTATGGGGCCACGATCCTCGTGAGGGGTGTGCCGAAATGGCCCGAGGCCGCCATGCGAACGCTGCCACTGGGGCCTTCGGTGGAGCTCCCTATAGGGCCACGATCCTCGTGAGGGGTGTGCCAAAATGGGGCGGGGCCGCCATGCGAACGCTGCCACTGGGGCCTTCGCTGGAGCTCCTATGGGGCCACGATCCTCGTGAGGGGTGTGCCGAGATGGCCCGGGGCCGCCATGTGAACCCTGCCACTGGGGCCTTCGGTGGAGCTCCCTATGGGGCCGCGAACCGTGTGAGGGGTGCGCCAAAATGGGGCGGGGCCGCCATGCGAACGCTGCCACTGGGGCCTTCGCTGGAGCTCCCTATGGGGCCACGATCCTCGTGAGGGTCGCGCCAAAATGGGGCGGGGCCCTTCGGTGGAGCTCCCTATGGGGCCACGATCCTCGTGAGGGGTATGCCGGAATGGGGCGGGGCCGCCATGCGAACGCGGCCACTGGGGCCTTCGGTGGAGCTCCCTATGGGGCCACGATCCTCGTGAGGGGTATGCCGGAATGGGGCGGGGCCGCCATGCGAACGCGGCCACTGGGGCCTTCGGTGGAGCTCCCTATGGGGCCACGAAGCGCTGTACTGGGTGGGTGAAACGCAGGGAGGAGAGGGGAGGAGGAGAGGAGGAGGAGAGGAGAGGAGACGCGGGCCACCGTCTCCTCAAAACGAGGACCCAACACCACAGGATGGTTGGGAACAATAGTCTGGGGACTATTTTGGGGGTATTTTCTCTACCATCGTGGGGCATGTTTTGGGTATTTTGTAATTTGTCGTCGAAAATCCTTCTGTAGGGGGACAGGCCCGACTTAAGGCTAGGGGGGGCGGCCTCCCCGGGCCTCCCCGCCTCCTGCGGCCCTCGGGGCGCTGGGGGTCCGAGGGGCAGCGCCCGCGGAGCAGTGCCCCCCTGCCTCCCAGGGAGGTTGCCCCCTTCCGCCGTGGCCAGAAAAGCCCCTTCGTTCCTTCTGGTGCGTTCCTGCTGTCAGCACGATGACTGCCCAGCAACGATGGGGTGCCCTTGGAAGGGTACCCTTGTTTCCATGCCTCTTCGACATGTTCTCAGCTCATCTCGCCTACCATCAATGGTCTATTTTGACGTCTCAGGGTCGGGCATCCTTCCCTGGCATCCTTTCTGCAGATTGTTACCTCAGTCCGTGTTTTTTTTTGTTCGACGGCCCTAGCACCTGGCAAGGAACGCGAGGAGGTTGGATTTTAGGGATATGATTTGGGCCTCTGGCAACCGATCGGGACGATTCGGGCACCCCTGGGACTCTCGGCGAGGCGCAGCTGCTGGGAAGTATCCTGCCTTGGGAGACCCTCAAAGAACCATCGAAAATGTCCGAAAGCTAGGAGGGGATCATTCTCCGCCCTGCCAAGTCCACTAGCGAATTGCTCTGTTGTGATTCTCGAGAGGGCGTTGCGGACGCATTGGTTGCGGGCCTGCGGCCGCCAGTTCTGGTCCTGGGACTCTCCCACCCAACAGGATGGGGCCGTTAGGATTAAAGGGAAGACCTCTCGACCCGCCTCGCACACCCTGTATAC